GAAGCAAACAGGCTTACGCTCCCTTAGTGTACTAAGCTCAGCATCTAGTTCTCTTTGCCCCCTTTTCTTTTCTAAATAATTAGCTAAATACTGAAGGTAACAACCCAGCAGTTACAGCTCCAAAATGCGACTACCATCAAGAGAATGGCTATAACGACCAACCAGTTCTCTCAGAAATATGTCAATTGTTTCTAAAATAAAGAAGACCTTACCGGGTATTGAAACCAAAAGTCCTTATAATTGTACTTTGATTTGTAACCTTGTTTTAAAAAGCATTCTCTACTTTGCACATTTCACAGACCATAGCCTTTTCCCCTTTAAAATCACTAATCACTAAAAGACAATAGCCAGGTTCTGACTAATGGTTCCAAGGTTTGAGCCTCTGGCAGCTCCTGAGACCCTAACGTGGAAGGACCCCTGCCGCGGTCCGGCCGCAGCGGGTCAAGGGGTCCCACAGGTGAGGGTAAGGCGTCGGCGCTGGGTAACAGACGACATCACGCCTCAAAGGACAGTAAAGCTCTGTTCCGTTTATTGCAAGTACAAGCAGGTTTTTATATTTTCATTTCAGGTAGTGATTAATATTTGCAGTATAATATGATCATTTAAGCAGAAAAAATCAATACAAAGGTAATCAGTAAAAGTACGAAAGTTCCCATAGATTTAGTTAAAGATTATTTTAACTAGGAGAGCCATTAATCAGACAATTAGAAGTATCTTATTGTATATTAAAGTTTCTCAGAATTTGTCATATGGCAAAAGGATACGCTAGATTGAGTAGAGAAAATAGGAAATTTATTATAAGGCCCTTGTGATGTCTAACTTAGCTATCTACCTTTTTTTTTTGCTTAAAATGTTTTTCTGTGTACTATAAATTCTGACTCCCTAGTGACTGTTTAGTTTGTAATAACTAACTAGCTTTTGTTATTTCTTTGCCTGTCTAGTTGATATATATTCTTATTCAAGGTAAAGGAGGGGCTATTCCTATGTTGCAGGGGGCTTTTAAGGGTACTTCTTTTAAGTTTCTCTAGGAGTTCTTTTATAGACATGTTTTGTACTTTGATTCTCTCTAAGAAAGCAGTGAGATCATCTCTTGATTTCCTAGAGTATTCTATCTTATCTTGGGTGTTTTTCTAATGATCTGTTATTGATTAAGCTTGAATTCTCAGATTGTTCTGGTTGATTCTTTGTACCTATATTCCCTGACGTTCTAGTATGATATTATTATTCTGTTCATTGAGCTGAGAAAGGTCTAGGCACACTATCTGAATCACTGCCAGGGTATTCATAATGATTAAAGCAGAAAAGGTCATGATCCCCAAAGCAAGCACAATCACAATAGGTATTGCAGGGCCTTCCATGCCACGTCCACCAGGTTGGAAACTGCTTCCTTGAAGTCTTACACCCCCTCTCAGGACCTTGTCATGGAGAGAGGGATCCAACAGTGGACGCGGCAGTGGACGTGGCAGACCCCTTCAGTGACCTCTCCATGAAACCAGACAGAGGGACATTGAAAGTGACCCCAGAGCTGTCCTCAAGACCTGAGGAAATGATTTACCACTCAGACCCCACCTTCGATCAATCAGCCCCTAACATATCCTCCACACCCCTAATGTATGCATGGTGTCTTGAGATTCTGCCCCGTATAACCTGTTAGTCACCTACCAGCCAGGAAGCAGCCAGGCCTTTCACAGCAAAAGCTCACCCAAACTCCGGATTGACATCAATCCTAGTAAATTCCTTTCCCCACTGTAAACTCTTGCTCATTCACCTGCTTTTGGCCAGTGCACACCATCAGATGGACTTACATATTGGGCGATAACCGTACCTAAACCAAACCTTAGAGTTTATTTCTTAAAAAAAAATACTTTCCAAGAAATCGTTTTCCTTCCACCTAAAAAAGTTTTTAAAATATATCTCAGTTAACTCGTTTAACAACCTTGAGCACTGCATGCCCTTCCTGCCCCGAAGAGACAGTAAATCACCCGGCAGTGGCAGGAAGACATGGGAACAAATACGGTCTTCCCGCCAGCGGGCCTGCCACCCCTGCCAGCCCACAGACACACGAGCACACACCCCAGAGACCTCCCTGCCGCCTCAAACACGGGCGCACTGGAATTCTGTAGCAATGCTCCGAGAACAGTAACTGGGCCCACTTGGCCACTTCACAGGACAGGACAGACTATATCCTACTTCATCCATCTCCCCATCAACCACCGCCATAGAGAATAAGACTGGGGCTGCTCCTGACACCTTTTAAAAAATACATTTGCTACTTCTGAAACAAAATGTCCCTTACATTACAATTTATACTCAACTTCAAAAGTCAACTCCCATTGCTTGATCCCAATCAATTTTCTCTCCATTCAAAACTATGAGAAGGGCTGCACGAAAGTGTGTCGGCGTATCAGCGATGCTTTAAAAGTAATTTTAAATATTTCATGTTACTAAATCTAAAGGGTAGATTTAGGACCAACAGTCCTAATGACAGACACAACCAGAGACCACCCCAAGCATTTAAAACATGAAACACACACACAGAGAATATAGGAACTCTACATACTTAAAGTAAGGAAAGCCACAGTTCATCTACATTTTTTGGTTTAACTAAACCAAAACAAGTTAAAAGCAACTTGGGAACAAATTGCATGCACTACAGAAAACAACTTAAGGTCATGATATTATATGGCAATGCCAACATTTTATAGGCAAAAAGTTAGACTATTTATTTGACTATGGACGAAAAAGGGGGCCACGATGTTAAACCTGACGAGCTCAGGGCAGGCCTGCATGGCAGGCACTACAAACTCCGAGACAGAAAGTAACCACCTAGGGTGGTCTGAACGTAAAATTCCTGTATAAAAGATAGCCGTGGCAGTAATGATGCCCTTGGCCTGAAGCTTCCTTGACAAGGGCCGGTCTTCCCCTTCAGTGAGCCTATTGTCTTACTTGCATCTAAGATTAACAGACAGTTTGAAGGTCAGAGGAATTCCCTTTTCCAGACGCCCCCAGGGTGCACCCACCACACAGACGCCTCATTGCTATCTTGTTGCCCACATGCTGTCTCCCTGGGCTGTAGACGTTGACTGCCCCACACCCACTGACGAGTGACTCGGCATTTCACTCTGTGTCCAATCTCAGAGGTTTCCTCCTTCGCTTTCTCTCGACCAGCAATGACTTTCATCTACCAACCCCTTACACCAGCTCCTTGGATTCTCATGTATAAAATAAGCTGTAAAACTGCCATTCTCCAAGGCATTTTCTCAGTCCATTGAGATTTTACTTTCTGGCGATCATTATTAGTTTGGTTCAAATAAACTCTTATAAGACTTTCTTGGGCCAAATGCTCTGATTAACAATACTTGCTACAACAAAGGGGTAAATCAATGTAAAAAGAAAAAGAAAACCCTTTCACAAAGCAATATGTTAATACAACATGTTAATATGTTGTATTGTGCAACATTCTCTTCCTATTAAAAGAAACGGAACACAATTTTCAAGACAATCCAACTGATCGCACATTAATACATGAAACCAAAATTTCCTCATGATTTTTTCCTATTATGAAATTAAGTACATCAAATGAAGTATTACTCTCCCAAAGGAAGGACTTAATATCTCTTCACACTCAGGCCCCCATTCCCCCACCCCCAGGACAAAGTGGTAACAGCTCTATCAGGCACAGGGACACAGCTGAATGACTGTTACTCAGTTTGTAAACCACCTCCTTTCATTCCGCTCCTCTCCTTACATATGTAAATCGCGGTGTCCCATCGGAGCCTGCCAACAGCCACCACAACCGAATTATCCTCCAGGGACACCATTCGGGCTTGTTATTCTGGTTTCAGCATTGAAAAAGGAGAGGAAGAAGCAGCTGTTTTCAGGAATTAAAGTTTCTCTTGATTAGATTTCTGGCTCACTGCTAAATGTTTATACCCTGAAATGCATTACCCTCTGCTTCTAAATATTTGGCTTTTTTTGAGAGCCAAGATGTAGTACATTTCCAATTAAATTGCTTCAAGTAATGTATGCCTAGTTTTGCCCGGAGCATTTGGTCAAATTTTAATATGCCCTCTTGGGAGCCAACGCGAACTTCCAGCAGTAGATCTAATTGTGCAGAATAGAATTTTAAACAACACTGAGCCCTATCTTCCATTGGACACAGTCCTTTCTTCTCCTACTCTGAGAGTTGTCCTATGAGACACCTCGTATGATACTTATCACTTAGAATATAGATCTTTCTACTGAGGTGATAAACCAATCACAAAATACATTCTGTTTCCCCCCAGCATTAAAAAACATTGGTTTCTTCCAAGGGTGAGCTGAAGCTGAATGCCATAGTTTAAGCTTGTGAACCACTGCACGATTAATAATTAATAGCACGTGCACATTTCCACGGGCTACAAATGTCAGCTGAGAAAACGCATGTCACAGGGCTTCCTGACCCACCAAACGGATGACCCAAAGGTGTTCAATTGTCTTAGTTTTTCTTGATTGCAATAAATGTTTTTGTTTCTGTGCCCACTGAAAACTTGAAAGAGGACCCTCTCATTTTTCTTGCATAAAAATATGAACCCATAATTTTACTACGAACCTCACACAGACATAACCGAGGGGAAGGCAAGGCTGTGCTGCAATACCACACTCATCGGCTCACATTAGGCTCAAAACAGGAATCTCAGGATATGTATTTGTCACGTCACCCCGAGCTGAAGGCATCACCAGGAGAATTCTCCTGGTCAGATGGCAGCCACAAACCCACATACTGGTGAAGGCCACGCCTCCCCAGTACTGCTCTTCCTTTCTTCTTCTTAACCGCGTCTCCCCTCCTCTCAGGAGAGAAGCCATTTTACTAATTTATAAGTACCCCAGCTATCCAACAAGCTAAAAAACATTTACTCATCAATAATAGTCAGCTAAAAGCAAAAGCTCACCCCACGGAAGTCAGAGAATAAAACAGGCAACCTGAGCACATATTGATCGGCAAGATTCCGGATACTCACTAAAGGCAGCCACAGCCAGGGCCAGGGTCACGATAATGGAGAACCAGGAGACCCACAGTGCCTTCCTCCTGTAGTTCTGGGCTTCGTGAGGTTTCAGACGAGTGCTGCTTTCTAGTAAGCCTGGCAGAAGCAGGAAGGAAAGGAAGTTAGACGTTTCCTCACTGAGAAAACCACAGCCAGAGAGCTCCACCTGCGTATCCAAGGATTACAGACTGACAGACAGCCTTTTGGGCCAAGATGTGCTTTAACAATTAGGAGAGTTCACATGCAAATCAGGCTTTCTGGAATCTCTTGAAAGGACGTGAGGAGTCTAGCACCACAGGCATGTGTTCCTGCAGGGTAACACAGCTGTCTTCCTCATAAGGCCCTGCAGACCCGCGACTCCCTCACCTGCAGCAGGAGCCCCCCCCCCCATCCCCCAGCCCTTGGGTTAACTAGCTTGGCTCACACTGGTGCTGTTCCTTCTGACAACACCCTTCTGGTAGGAAAACAGCACCAATAGCCCACATGTAGTTAGCCATTCAGGCTCCTCGGCTGTGGGCATTGATCTGCATTGATCCACCTGCAAGGTGCCACTGGTGGGCTGGGTTTTGCCCAAAGCAATGAGTCATGGAGTACAAATGCCCTCATTGCTCCCTCAGTGACAATTAACAGGAGAAGGACCTTTGTCTTTAACTGCCACCACCGAGAACCGCTAGACCTAAACTATATGCCATTTTCTTCTCTTTCTGCTCTGTACTACCTATCCTTTTTGTACCAAGCATATGTTGAAAAATTCTTAGAATATTAAAGTAAGGCAAATCTGCTAAAACCGGGGGTAGCTTTCCAGACAGGCCATGTGTAAGAAAGGTTTCATTTTTGTTGCCTAGACCTTCAACATTGAGAGACCTTGACAACAGAAATTCATGACTCCCAGGCAATGCCCAAGCTTCAACTGCCTTGGGTTGAAGACTGAAATATCTTCAGTATGATCCCAATGTATATTTTTTCTTCTCCTTTGAAAACAGATCATATATGCCATCTCCTTATTGCAAAGAAAACAAAATTCCCGGTCAAACATTCTACATAAAAGGAGCTTATGACACTATCTCTGGCTAAACAGCCTAACGTACACCCTTTACAGAGGAGGAGTCTCACACAACAGGTCCAGAAAATGAAGAAAAGTGTAGCCAAATCCCTGGCACCATTTGTAAAATACTGCACAGTGTGCGACATATCACACCTGTGCATTCAGTAAAAGGCATCATCTTATTAAACCGACTCACTCTTATTAAACCGGCATCACACTAAGCCTCTGACTGCCAAAAGCTGTCCTAGTCAAAAATTATAGCAAGGGCCCTATTCAAACTTCCCAGTTCCATTTACCATCCAGACTTAAGCACCCTGCACAAGTTCTGAACAAAGCAACAGGAAATATCCAGCAGGTTGCTTAGTGAGCCCCGTTTATAGACAGAGGTTTTTAAATAACTGAAACATGTAGACTTCCTTAGGATCAAAACATAAGAAAGAAGGAGGGAGGGAGGGAAGGAAGGAGGGAAAGAAGGAAGGAGGAAAGGAAAGGAAAAAAGAAAAGAAAGAGAAGAGAAAAGAAAGGAAGAAATGCTAAAGGGTAGGTTTAAACACCATTTCCATCATTACCTCACCATAAAAATGTCCCCAAACCTGCCAAAATAAATGAATGCACTTGGATGGAAAACAGAAATACCTCTTATCAAGGGATTTTAAATTAAAATCCCTTTGTCTACTTTCTGTCCCTTTGTTTACACCTTCTCTAGCTGCCAAAACACCCCATTCTAATGTTCAACTATAATCACCTGTGTCCAGTTGAAGCCACAGCCTGGAATAAGGAGGTCCCACACACACCCAATAATTTATTTCCCTTTTCCCAAATGATATAAAAATCTTCCTTTCATCTTGGCAAATTGATTTTCAGAAGTGAAGCTGAGTCAAATAAGCAGTTCATTCGCTGGGTATTTTGACAGCAATAATCTCGAGAGGTTTATCTACTGGGGGGTGAAAGCAAGGTTCCTTTTAGAAGTAGACTTAATTTTCTAAGAGAAAGGCAATGATCTGCATTTTCTATTCTGCTACATGGCATTTCTCCTCCAAAGTCAGCTGTTTCCAACCATATGAGCTGTTTCCAACCATATGACTGACCGCAGGCCAATCTACATGCCTCACCCCTCAGTGGGCCAGTACTCCAGTGAAGGGGTTTGGGATCCCAGCCCTCATAGGCTAAACTGCCCTGCTGAGGGGAGGCCCTGGGGTCTTCTATACAGTAGGACTGCCAGTTCTTCTCCAGATCTGACCCTATGCAAACCTCCCCAATGAGATTTTTTTAGTTAAAAAACTGAAGTAAATGCAATAGGAAGACTATCCATGAAAGGAGGAACTTTCCCATTTCTTTCCAAACTTTGTTATCTCCTACTACTTTTCCTCTTTAACATGTAGCCTCTTTAAAGAATGGAAAACTTCCCTCTCCTCAAATTACCTACAAAAACCCAGCTCATAAACGGCCTGCAAACAGATGCCGCTATCTCTCCTCCAGTGTTAGCTACATGCACACTTGCAAGCCACAGAGGTGCAGTGACAATTTCTGAAGTTTTCAGGATGCTCTGCTTCCAAGGCAGAAGAAAGGCAGCACAGCCTAGAGAAGCTAAGGCAGGCTGACCTCAGATAGTTGGCCTGTCTAATCAAATTTCTAATCTTGCCCAAATTTCACATATTTGTAATTTTGGCCAGGAAAAGAGTAAGAATAAGGGTTGTATTAATGAAGGATAGATATCTTATTTTTTTAAGGGCGGGGATGCAAATATATGTGGGGAGGCTGAAGATATCAGTCATTTCCTTGCTAGTATAAATCAGTTCCAGTTGCTTTCTCCTAAGGAGTTAGTCATTCTTGGTTTCTCTGAAGGGAAATATTCATTAGATGGGAACGTAATGGGAAATGATGAAGCACACAAGGCTGGGCTGGGCCCTAAGTCTTGGAGCAGAACAATGGGAAGGAAAAAACTTGTGGAGAGAAGACTGGATATTAAGAGGGAGAGAGTGAAAACATCTAAGACAAATGTGGCCTATTTTGTGTGTTTAAGTCTCTAAAGCTCTCAGGCCACAGAACTCTTTCTCGCTGAACTACAAGCTCAGCCAAATGGCACTGCAGTTTTGACATTATGAGCTAGTAGGTTTTTGGAATCAGCCCACATCACTCCAAATTCCCAAAACACTAAAATTACAAAGCACGCCTTTGATGGGAGTTAGAAGTCCGCAACACGGTCCTGGAGTACCCAACATTTTTGCACCTCTGGGCCAGACTGAAAGAAGAGTTGTCTTGGGCCACACGTTAAAAACACAAACACTAACGAAAACTGATGAACAAAAAAAAAATGGTTTTAAGTAAATTTACGATTTTGTGTTGGGCCTCATTCATAGCCATCCTGGACTGGATGCAGCCTGAGGGCCACTGCGGGTTAGACGCTCGAAAGTTAGGACAGGACAGAAAGGCAAACAGTTACACATCCAGGGTGCTGCCCAACCCTCACGTGCCCTCTAAGCATTTAGGCCTACGGGAAAGAAAGCTGCAGGCTCTCTGCATGGAGAGATGCATAGCAGGCAACTGCTAAGGTTTCTTTCTCCCGAAATCCTCTCACCATCAGGAAGAAGGCAGCCGCAAACGAACCATTCCCCACAGTATATGAAAATCAATACTGGAAAGATGCAGGCCGTAAGGAAAAATAACACAAACACAAAATATTATAATAAACCTCCCCAGGTAACCTTCTGATTTATTTAATAAAGGTGACTCAGTCATCATTAACTCTTTGCTGTCAGGAATGGGCTAAACAAAAGAATGTCACCCTTTCAGCTTTCAATGCCACCCAGCACTGGGTTCTTTGGGGGACAGGGTGCGTCCTAACAGAGAGGCTGTGTGTGGTGTGCAACGCTTTCACAAAGTGACAGTTTATGAACAGTGAATGCTTTCATGCTATAATATAATGGAAAATGAAATTTAGTCGACCAGTGAAAAATAACCTTAAGAACGAATTCAGACAGGCTTTTGACACTCGGACATGGGCTACAAAATGATGCTAAATATTAGCTCGCACGAGCACTTTTCCCCGTCCTATTATTTTTGGTGGGGTGGGGAGAAATAGGCCAGCTCTTGTAGATGACCTGCAATGCTACAAAAATAAACTCAGCCCAGAGTTCTTTCTTCAATACCAAATTTGTAAATGCTACAATATTAGTTGCTGAGGGAAAGGTAATTAACACCACATAAAATAAAACTGACAGGTCTTGTTGGGTGCCTGTGATGTCACCAATCACCAACTCTAAAATGACAGCCAATTATGTGGGAATCGGAGAACCTGCAACGTCGGTGCCGAACTCGCTGGTTGCAGCTGGAGCGGCTCCAGCTGCCGCTGAGCTCCCTGCCGATTCGCTGGGAGCTGCGGTTTCCCTGTCATTCTATTTCACAGGCTTGCTTAAATTTTCTAAGAGGAAAGAGATCGTGCATCTGCACACTAAACCGGAATAAAAATGTGCAGGAGATACTAAGAATAGGACAGAAACCTGCTAAGGCTAAAATATAAAAATCCGCCACAGCCAACAAAAAATAAGGCGTCCAAGAAAAAGGGGCGAAGTGGCGGAGAGCCGGTTCCCCCGAAGGGCCCGGCTACGAGAATCCCGCTTCGACCACTAACCAGTTTTAGCAGAACCGCTGAGTCTTTTTGAGGGGTCCCCTCGAATGGGACCCATTTGGACTTGGATTCAGCAGGAAGCAGAAAAGATACAGACGTGGCCGAGAACAGGGCTCCGAGCGGAAAGGAAACGTTGAAGGGAGGGAAAGGAGGATTTAGGAGGAGACACGGGAATGAACGGGGGAGTCTCTCTGTCTCAGGCCGGCAACTCAGAAGGGGCGGCGGCCGTCGGTGTCTCTCGGTGGGAAGAAAGGGTTCGGCCTCCCGGGACAGGGACCAGGCCAGAGTCCCGCGAGCGATGCTGTTGCTGAAGCGGGTGACGACGTGCGCCCCGGCCGCCCGGTTTCCGCGGCGCTCACCCAGACGAGGCTGGGGGCCCAAACCCCGATGCCCCAGCGCCCCGCCCTCCACCACACGGCCCGCAGTGAACTAGGTCCCCTGTCAAGGAAGGTCCGGGCCGCCCGACCGACTTCCCTTCGCCGGGGCGGGCGGCCCCGCAGCCGCTGCGCGGCTCCTCACGGCTGAACCCGCAGGGGGGAGCCATCCTGGCCGCCGCCGCAGGTCGGAGGGGCTCGGGAAGGAGGGCGCACGGAGCTCGGGTCCCTCCCAGCTGAGCTGGGGCCGCAGTCCCCCGGGAGCACTGGGCTCTGAAAGCAAAACAAAAAACACGCCTCCCGCAAACTTTCTCCAGTGGGCGCCGGAGGGGCAGGGGCGCGAGTCCCTGCGGGCTTCCCCAGCAGGCTGCCGGTTCTCCGGTTCCAAGGCGGCCCGGCCGCGGGCGGTGGGACTGCGGCTCCCCGCGCCTTCGCCGGGAAGTCCCCGCTCCGGCCCGGCCCGGCCCGGGAGTGGGCAGAGGCGGCCCCTCGCCGCGCCGGCCGGGGCAGGGGAAGGGGCTGCGCCGGGGGACGTGGCCCGGGCGCCGCGCGCTCACCTCGATCCTCCAGCCCGTCGCTGAACTGGCCGCTCTGGCTGATCCGCATCTGTTGCCCCTCCTCGGGCTGCGGGGGCTCCCGCGCCGGGGATCCCAGCGGGCCGGGGGCAGCGGCCAAAGGCGCGTGGCCCCGGGGCGGCGGCGGGACGGCGGGGCCGGGGGAGCTGCGGCGCTCTTTGCCCGTTGCCGTCTCCATGGCGCGGGGCGGCGGATCCCAGCGGCGACGACAGGAGTCGCGGGGCTGGAGTCCGAAGTGCGAGGCGCCGCGGCTCGGAGCCGGCGGAGGGATGGACGGACGGACAGCGCCACGAGAAAGCGAGGGCGCGCGCGGCGGAGTGGAGGTGCGGCGGCTGCAGGGGCGGCGGGCGCGCTGGGAGCGGCGTAGCCGGCGGCGGGGGCCGCGCAGTGGCTGCCGCGCTCCGCCCCCGGGGGCAGGTGCAGGCGGCAGGGATCCGCCCCGAGGCCCCCGCGCCCGAACCGCCGCACGGAGACCCGTGTGGAGGGAGGGGTTCTGTGGGGCCAGTCGCCCGAACGCTCCAGGGAACGAGTGGGGGCACCGGGCGGCCCCGGCGGGGCCTGGCGAGGGCGTGACTGGGGATCTAAGGCCGCCCGTGCTGCGCGCCCGGGCGCAGAGAGGAAGCCCCTCCGGCCCGATTTCCTTGCCGTCCGGGACGCCCGTGGCCGCTCCCGCACGAGAGCGGGCGGCGCCCTAACTTGGCCTCTGTCTCCCCCGGAGCTGCACAGGCTTCAGAGGCTGTGCTGAGCCCCGGGAAACCCGGGTTTCCCTAACCCGGGAAGCGAGGTTCACCTGTCCCCGAGCCCGTCGGTCCCGGGCCTTCTCCAGAGGTTTTGATTGCCTTCCCAGTTTTTCCCTGCAGCGCCAACCTAAGGGGACCGGGTGTGCGCGGGACCACGGAGCGCTCTGCTTAGAAGGTCTTCGGATCTCGAGGCGTCCCCACAGCGACTATCCCGGGTCCTTTGTCCCAGCCAGTCCCCCACCGCTCACTGTTTCCCCTCTGAGCATTCAAGTCTCTCGGGGTCCGCAGGACTGCGGGCCTCCCCCGGCTGCCCGGCGCGGCCGACTGTCTCCAGCTCTGACCACACCGGGCCCGCACCCCTGAGCCGGCCCGCCGGTCTCCGCAGCGGTGCGGCGACCTGGTCCGCGCCACGCCGGGGCCCGCGCGGCCCTCTAGCAGCCTCGGAGATTCAGAGGCAGATCGGCCATTTACCAGATTTATCTTGAATTTAATGGTATCGACACCCAAACTATACAGTCTAGATTTAATTTTTAAATGAAAATTTACAATTTAGATTTTGTCTTTAAATTTAATGAGCTCTAAAACGCCAATTCCTTATTTAAAGCCTGCCTACTTTGGGGGTTAGGCACCCTGTGTTTTGCAGAATACCCAGTTTCCTTTCTCATTCTCTTTGCCTGCAGTTGAAATGCGAAGCGTGTCTCACTTTATGTTGGGAATGAGGAGATCTGAGTTGACCTTGGACGATTCACTTTACCTTTTGGCCACTAATTTCCTTAGGTAAAACTGAAAGAGTTGGACTAGGTCATTTCAAAGGCCCCATTTTGCTAGGAGAATAGAATGGGAGGGAGGGAAGTAAGAATGAAAAGGAAGAAAAGTGCTATGATTTCTTGGGTTAAAACAGTGAGTGAGTCCTTTCCAGTCTTTGTTCTGTCCTCGGAGGAGGGCAGACATGGGTGTTTGTGGATGGACACAGGCCGACACATAAACCCGCCTTGCTCTCTCCCACGCAGACTTTTTCCCTCCAGGTTTTCCCAATTGGTTCCTCAGTCAATGGATCTCAAACATTTGAATCACCTTGGAGTTTTAAAAAAAATACCCACGGCTCTCCCACTGCTGGAGATCCCATAACCTCCGTGATGGAAATGGTCTGGTCTGGGACCCGGACATCAGTTCTTTTTAAAGCTCACTCCCCTTTCTAAAATCCTCTGGGAAGCTCTTATTTGTTGCTTATTTCCTTTGGGTTTGTTGTTGTTGTTGTTTAAATGCTGACTCTTCCTCGTTGCTTTGCAATCCTGATTAAGTGGATGTGAAATCTGGATGAAAATCTTCATTTGCACGTGTGTGTGTCTCCCCCCCACACACACACACACACACGGATTCTGGTGTAGATTGTTCCAGAGCCACCTTTGTACAATGGGAGACCACCCCCCCCCAAAAAATGGAATGTCTTCTGGAGGGTGCTTCCTTGTAGTACAGGCTTCCCCCACTAGATCCACGTTCTAGGAACCCCTCTGTGTCAGTGTGCCCGCTGACGTTGTTGCGAGAGGCTGCATTGGGCTTCAGTGAATTTTCCTTTTGAAGACTCAACACATTTGCCCATTTCATGATGGGTGATTTATGAGCACATCTATGCACAGAGTGCTGAGTGTTCAGCAGTTTTTGACCAAAAACAGCAAGATCCCCTCCCTATTCATCTGATGTCCCCATGAGCCACTTTTTTTTGTTTCCCTTGTGAAAAATGACCTCGATGAGAAACCTCTTTGTCAATATGGAAGAGGTGAAACAAAAAATGACAGAAGTAACTAAAAGACATTAAAATCTATGAGTTCAAAAACTGTTTTAAGCAGTGGAAAAAAAACATTTCAATAGATGCATTGCATCAAATGGAGAGTATTTTGAAGGTGACTGAAGTTTAAACACATAAGAATAAATTCTGAGGTTTGGGGGTTCCCCTCATAATTCTTACTATCGACCCTCCACAATGTGGACTGGCTAGCTCTGCATCCTTCTCTCTCTCCCTCTCTCTCTCTCTCTCTCTCTCTCTCTCTCTCTCACACACACACACACACATACACACACACCAGAGGCTGTGTTTTCTCAAAGTCATTAGCATCATTATCCTTTCTTCTGGTTCCTCAATCAGTTCTCTAGTCCAGTGCATCCAGACATGAATGTACAGACGAACACCAAGTTTCTTGTTAAAATGCAGATTCTAACTCAGTGTATCCGGGCTTAGAGGCTCATAGCTCTAACAAAGCTCCAGGTGCTGCTAACACTGCTGGTCTGAAGACCACACTCAGAGAAGTAAGGCTCTAAGCATTATTTATTATTCATTGGATAAATATACTTTATCAAGTTCCAGATGCCCTGGTTCAATAAGCCATTCCTGCCTCCTCCAGAAAGGCTTCTCTGACTCCATCTCTGGGAGTGCCCTGAGTACTCTTTTCTGTGAACTGTAAATGTTTAATAATGCACTGCCTGTTTCATGTGTGAGGCAGGGATCGTGCTGCTTGCCTGATCCCTGTCTTCACTCACTCGTATCTACCTGCATGCCAAGGACACAGTGGTCCCCCAAACAATCTCCATTGGTTGACTGGGAGATAATATCAGCTTACATTCTCACGGGATGTAATATGTGCCAAGCATCTTGCTAAATTTTTATGCGCATTGTCTCCCTCACTCAGCTATCCCTATCTTTGTTTTACAAAGAAATGAAGGAAAGTCTGTTAAGCTTTTGTCTAGCACCACAGCAGCAAATGCCCGCAGCGGTACTGCCCCCGAGAGGGCATTTTGGAAATTTGCAGTTGCTTTACTTGGTTATCACAATGATAGGAGGAAGAGGCCCCTGCGTAGTGGGGGATGCAGGGATCCAGGAGGCCCCCCATGCGCAGGACTTTGCAGCCCTGTGATTGAGTCCCACATGGCTTTCATGTGTCAGACTAGATGGTTGGAACAGTTAAAATATGCTTCTAATTACATTAGAACTTTAATTCTGTTGTACATATAAACCCAAAATATTTTTGTACCATTTGAATACACACTGGTGTCAAATAAATGCAAAAAAAAAAAAGTCTTGAGGCTTTGCTAGAAATAAATGATAAAGATTTACAAGAGTCTTACAGTTTGCAAACTGGAAACACAGCTACGCAAAATCCCAGAAGGATTCTGAAGAAGAAAGAAAAGTTTAGGGCTCTCATAGTAAAAAAGACACATTCTTGAGAATTATCAGTCTTCATTCTTAGCCCTAAGATTGATCCAGGAGAGTATCAGTCAAATGTCAGGCAGTCTGAATGATGGATTGCATGTGGTCTGGGAGGTGGGCACTTATGAAAGTCCAGGCATCAACACAGGACTGGAAAGCTTAAAAGTTTAAGTTCCCAGGCTAGTTAAAGCAAGAGTAAAATCATTTACGTACCTCAGCCTACTCAATTGTAGTGATTTAGCAGCTTGACTACAGTGACTGCATTTTTCCCTCTATTCCTTATTTCCCTCTTCTTGATTGGGATTTTTCTCTCAAAAAAACATTGTAAACAAAACAAAATGTTTTCAAGTGCCTCAGTGCTAAGGTAGCAATGCCTTCTTTGGGTCCATTATGTCTCTGGGTGGGGTGAGGGGCAGGATATGGGCTAGAGACATGCTTTCCCTGATTGAGTGTGTAGTTAGCTCAATAGCTGTGCCAATTTTTAGGTTAAACCATTAGGAAAGGACCCATTAAAACATTATTATTACATATTATTTTCAGAAACCAGTCTCAGTCTTGAGAATAGGTCAGTTCAGTTAAACAGCTCTCTCTTCTCTCAGGAGGTGATGATGCAGCTGGCTGCCAAAGTTAGGTCTATGGTCTTTGGTACAAGCAGTCAAGTATTTAATAAGAGGCATCTCTATGGAAACAAGAGAAAAAATAAGGGTAATAACTGAAGCAAACTTAATCCCAGTTTCTGAGTTCTGAAGGCAGCCAGTAGAGATTTCTCAGTGTCTAGCTCAAAACATTTTCAGATGCAGTGAAGGCGGACAGTGGCAGTCCAATAGACTCACCTGGTTTGCAGTTTGAATGTCGCTGGTGATTTTTCTGCAACTGGCACAAAGATTGTCCATATATGAGCTGTTGTGGAGACTTCTCTGGTTTATATCAAGGTGGCCCACTTTAACTGCATTGCTTTAGGAAAGCAGTTTTAATTCTCAATGATTCAAAGTCAAAGAAAGAAAAATTAGAAACATTAGTTTGGAGAGTCATAGCCAGATTCTGGAGAAAACTGGAAGAATTCAGGATCTAGTCCAATGTGTAGGTAGGAACAAAACCTCAAAAGACAATGAACAGTACTGGAATCTAATATCCACAAAGGGGTATTACTGAAATAATTTCTCTTTAAAATCATTCTCATTTTTATCAAAGATAGCCAAATTAAGACTAATTTGTTTGCCAAAAATCTCATTTCAATGAACTTGGCCTTTTATTTGCATGGGAGCCAAAAGAATAGTAATTAACCATATAGGCTCTTTTAAACCTGCTTTGCTGGAATTTTTGATAAGGAATTATCAGGTTGAACTTTAAAAGGCCTCTCAAAACCAGAAAAGCCAAGGCAAGGACTTGCCATCAGACTTTTCCTGTAATACCAACAGATTTGGGTGA